TCTAGTGAACGAAAGGGTTTGAAAGGTAACTAACGCACATGTGTAGAGAAAATGGTGCATCTGCCAGTCTGGCCGGCATTTCGCACTTATAGTGCAAGTAGGGCCAAGGAGAACGGAAACGCTCATTTCTCAAAAAGTAAAGGGAATCTAGCGGTCTCACTCGTTCAGAAGGTGGGAAATATATAAATCTAGTGAGCTAATAAGGTTCGAAAGGAATCTAATGCATATGTATATGGAAAATGGTGCATTGGCCAGGACGGTTAGTATGGGAACTTAGAGTGCAAATGCCAGGGAGAACGGAAGCGCTCAGATCTCGCATAGTACACGGAATCTAGTAACTAACGCACATGTGTAGAGAAAATTGTGCATCGGCCAGTCTGGCCGGCATTTCGCACTTATAGTGCAACTAAGGCCAAGGAGAACGGAAACGCTCATTTCTCAAAAAGTAGAGGGAATCTAGCGGTCTCACTCGATCAGAAGGTGGGAAATATATAAGGGGGGTGCGTGGGAGTGGAGCTAGGGGTGTAGCAGCGGGTGTGTGTCAGGGGGGTGGGACTGTTTGTGGGAGGTTGAGCGGAGGCTGCCGTCTTGTAGTCCGCAGCACCTGTAGTCCGGGGCGCTGTCCTGGTAGCCCAGTGAGCCTGCTGCGCCTGTCGCCCGTGGGTTGGTGCTCCTGCCGCTCTTTGTAGCCGCCGAGCCAGTTACTCCAGTAGTCCGGGGCGCTGTCCCGGTAGCCACTGTGCCAGCCGCTCCTGTTGCCCGTGTGTCTGCAGCTTCAGCAGTCGCCTCCCATCTCCTCTCCTCTCACTCTCCCTCCTCCTCCTCACCTGCCCGTTGTGACCACCACTAGCTTTGCTGATAATTGTGCACTTTAACTATTGCTTCTTGAACTTGTGCTCAGAATGTGTGGTGACATTGTGATCCACCCTGAGCTTGTACTGCTTTGCCTGCTCTGCTGATTTCACCCCACTTTGGCTATGGGGGTGTGTCAGAATATATTTGCTGTCTAGCCTGCAGTGGGGTACTCTGTAATGAGTACAACCCAATTTAGGGCAATGTACTTGTATCCCAACTCTTGCTAGTCACTTCACTTCCCTTCCAATTTCTCGACTCTCACCTAACCCACTCGAACATACCTATCTCCTAGTGTGGGCCTAGGCTACTAAGCCTAGGCCCCACACCTAATATTTTCACATCTAATGCATATGTATATGGAAAATGGTGCATTGGCCAGGACGGTCAGTATGGGAACTTAGAGTGCAAATGCCAGGGAGAACGGAAGCGCTCAGATCTCGCATAGTACACGGAATCTAGTGGTCTCACTCAAATAGAAGGTAGGAAATAAATTCATCTAGTGAACGTAAGGGTGTGAAAGATAACTAACGCACATGTGTAGAGAAAATGGTGCATCGGCCAGTCTGGCCGGCATTTCGCACTTATAGTGCAAGTAGGGCCAAGGAGAACGGAAACGCTCATTTCTCAGAAAATAAAGGGAATCTAGCGGTCTCACTCGATCAGAAGGTGGGAAATATATAAATCTAGTGAGCTAATAAGGTGCGAAAGGAATCTAATGCATATGTATATGGAAAGTGGTGCATTGGCCAGGTTGGTCAGTATCGGAACTTAAAATGCAAATGCCAGGGAGAACGGAAGCGCTCAAACCTCGCATAGTACACGGAATCAAGTGGTCTCACTCAAATAGAAAGTAGGAAATATATTCATCTAGTGAACATAAGGGTTTGAAAGGTAACTAACGCACATGTGTAGAGAAAATTGTGCATCGGCCAGTCTGGTTGGCATTTCGCACTTATAGTGCAACTAGGGCCAAGGAGAACGGAAACGCTCATTTCTTTAAAAGTAGAGGGAATCTAGCGGTCTCACTCGATCAGAAGGTGGGAAATATATAAATCTAGTGAGCTAATAAGGTTTGAAAGGAATCTAATGCATATGTATATGAAAAATGGTGCATTGGCCAGGTCTGTCAGTATGGGAACTTAGAGTGCAAATGCCAGGGAGAACGGAAGCGCTCAGATCTCGCATAGTACACGGAATCTAGTGGTCTCACTCAAATAGAAGGTAGGAAATAAATTCATCTAGTGAACGTAAAGGTTTGAAAGGTAACTAACGCACATGTGTAGAGAAAATGGTGCATCGGCCAGTCTGGCCGGCATTTCGCACTTATAGTGCAACTAGGGCCAAGGAGAACGGAAACGCTCATTTCTCAAAAAGTCAAGGGAATCTAGCGGTCTCACTCGATCAGAAGGTGGGAAATATATAAATCTAGTGAGCTAATAAGATTCGAAAGGAATCTAATGCATATGTATATGGAAAATGGTGCATTGGCCAGGACGGTCAGTATGGGAACTTAGAGTGCAAATGCCAGGGAGAACGGAAGCGCTCAGATCTCGCATAGTACACGGAATCTAGTGGTCTCACTCAAATAGAAGGTAGGAAATAAATTCATCTAGTGAACGTAAGGGTTTGAAAGGTAACGAACGCACATGTGTAGAGAAAATGGTGCATCGGCCAGTCTGGCCGGCATTTCGCACTCATAGTGCAGGTGGGGCCTGGGAGAACGGAAACGCTCGTTTCTTAAAAAGTAGAGGGAATCTAACGGTCTCACTCGATCAAAAGGTGGGAAATATAAAAATCTAGTCAGCTAAAAACGTTTGAAATGTATTCAACGCACATGTATAGAGAAAATGGTGCATTGGCCAGGTCGGTCAGTATCGGAACTTAAAATGCAAATGCCAGGGAGAACGGAAGCGCTGAGATCTCGCATAGTACACGGAATCTAGTGGTCTCACTCAAATAGAAAGTAGGAAATATATTCATCTAGTGAACATAAGGGTTTGAAAGGTAACTAACGCACATGTGTAGAGAAAATGGTGCATCGGCCAGTCTGGCCGGCATTTCGCACTTATAGTGCAACTAGGGCCAAGGAGAACGGAAACGCTCATTTCTCAAAAAGTAAAGGGAATCTAGCGGTCTCACTCGATCAGAAGGTGGGAAATATATAAATCTAGTGAGCTAATAAGGTTTTAAAGGAATCTAATGCATATGTATATGGAAAATGGTGCATTGGCCAGGTCGGTCAGTATGGGAACTTAAAGTGCAAATGCCAGGGAGAACGGAAGCGCTCAGATCTCGCATAGTACGCGGAATCTAGTGGTCTCACTCAAATAGAAGGTAGGAATTAAATTCATCTAGTGAACGTAAGGGTTTGAAAGGTAACTAACGCACATGTGTAGAGAAAATGGTGCATCGGCCAGTCTGGCCGGCATTTCGCACTTATAGTGCAAGTAGGGCCAAGGAGAACAAAAACGCTCATTTCTCAAAAGTAAAGGGAATTGTCAGAACATTATAGCTGATACATGTTTGTAGGCTGTAGTGGGGTAGCACATATGGGGTACAGATTCCTAGGGTTTGTTATTTGTACCAATTTCTGACTTAGTCATCCTCATTCCTCTTCTCATTGTTTCACATGGTATAGAGCTAGGTCCCTCCAGGACCGATTTTTTTTTGGGCCCACCGAAGCGCGCCCCGAGGCGCGGTTTTTTTTTTAGCGACCCCTCGAGTCGCCCTCTCCCCTGCGGCCTCCCCGCCCACTCTGTCGCGGCCCCGCCCTGACCCTTACGCGGCCCCGCCGCCTGCTCCTTACGCGGCCCCGCGTCGGCCCCCTTACGCGGCCCTTACGCGGCCCCGCGCCGGCTCCTAAGCGGCCCCGCGCCGGCTCCTACGCGGCCCCGTCCCCGGCTCCTACGCGGCCCTGTCCGCCGGCCCCTTACGCGGCCCAGCCGCCGGCCCCTTACGCGGCCCCGCGCCGGCCCCTTACGCGGCCCCTTACGCGGCCCCGCGCCGGCCCCTTACGCGGCCCAGCCGCCGGCCCCTTACGCGGCCCCGCGCCGGCCCCGCGCCGGCCCCTTACGCGGCCCCGCGCCGGCCTCCTACGCGGCCCCGCCGCCGGCTCCTACTCGGCCCCGCGCCGGCTCTCACGCGGCCCCGTCCCGGCTCCTTCACGGCCCTGTCCGCCGGCTCCTTACGCGGCCCTGCCGCCGGCCTCTGCTCGGCCCTGCGCCGACCCCTGCGCGGCCCTGCCGCCGGCTCCAACGCGGCCCTGCCCCGGCTCCTAAGCCGGCCCTACCGCCGACCCTGCCGCCGGCTCCTACGCGGCCCTACCGCCGGCCCCTTCGCGGCCCCGCCCCGGTCCTCTTACGCGACCCCGCCGCCTCACCTGCAGCTGTCGGGCGGCCAGGCAGCCGAGCCGCCCAGTCGCCGAGCCGCCCGGGAGCCGAGTCGCCCTGCACCCGAGCCGTCCGTCGCCGAGCCGCCCGGGAGCCGAGCCGCCCTGCACCCGAGCCGCCCTGCCGCCGAGCCGCCCGGGAGCTGAGCAGCTGTACACCCGAGCCGCCCGGTCGCCGCTCTGCTTTTCTGTCGAGCTGCACGGCCTGCCCTGCCTGGTGAGCACAGTCCCTCTGTCACTGCGCCCTCTTTCCCTACTGCTTGCACTGCTTCGCTGTCGTCATCATGGCCACCCCTAGTGTCCTAGCCTTTGACGCCGAGGGTCGCGCCATTGATTTTTAGGTCTGGCTAGATGACCTGCAGCTTTTCTTACAGTGCGACAGAGCTGACATCCTTTCTCTCTTTGACCTCACCTCTGGCGCCTCTCCTGCTCCTGCTGCCGATGCTGATCCCACTGTCCGCTCTCAGTGGGCCACCCGCGATGCTGCTGCACGTCTTGCTGTGCGTCGCCACCTCCCTACCTCTGAGCGTGCGCATTTTAGTCAGTACAAGAGTGCTCAGACCTTGTACGACGCTGTAGTTGCACGCTACTCCTCTCCTGCCACTGCTGCACTGAGCCGTCTCATGCTTCCCTACCTCTTTCCTGACCTCTCTGCCTTTCCCACTGTCGCTGACCTCATTACGCACCTCCGCACTAGTGACACTCGCTACCGCGCCGCCCTTCCTGCTGAGTTCTGCGCTTAGAACCCCCCCCCCCCATGTACATCACTCTCTACTACGTAGTCGCACGCCTCCCTGACTCCCTCCGCGTAGTCAGGGACCACTTTCTCGCAGTCTGTCCCACCACTCTCACCGTCGACCTCCTCGAGAAGGCCCTCCTCGCAGCGGAGAAGAGCATAGTCGCTGTCGGTGCCTCTCGTGGTGACCCTCGCACCCCCATCTTTGAGGGGTGCTCTCCTTCCCCCTTGCTGCCCTCTGTTGCCTCTGCTGCTGCGGCCGACCTGCTTGGTCTTGAGTCGGTCGGCGCGGCGTCTGCCCCTAGTGGGAGACGTCGCTCTGGCAAGGGCAAGGGGGGCAAGGGCGCGGGCGGAGCTGGAGGGGGCGGTGGCGGTGGCGGCGGAGGCGGCGGAGGGAGTGGGGGTGGCGGCGGGAGTAGTGGTAGTGGTGGTGGTGGTGGTGGCAGCAGCGGCGGAGACGGTGGTGGTGGTGGCACCGGTGGTGGTGGAGGCAGCAGCGGGAGTGGAGGCGGTGGAGGTGGAGGCGGTGGAGGTGGAGGCGGTGGAGGCGGCGGCGGAGGAGGCGGTGGTGGTGGTGGCCAGCGCTTGCAGCGGCAGCAGCAGCAGCGTTCGCGGGACATCCCTCCGCCTCAGCAGCTTCGTGAGTGGTACACTGCGCGTCAGAGGGGTGGGGGTACTGGTCCCTGCGCCTACGTTCTTCGTTCCGGCGACCGCGCGGGTGAGCAGTGTGGGGGTGCCCACTCCACCCAGCGCTGCTTTGGCCGCCTGACGGACACTTGGCGTCAGCAGTTCCCCGGGGCTAGTGAGATCCCTCGCTGGGATGAGCTCCTTAGGGCTGGTGTAGCGATCTTTGATCTTGATTTTGATGCTATCCTTTCTGCTATGTATGCTGTGACTTATAGTGAGGAGAATGAGGGTTACCGGTGTTTCCAGCCCGACCCGGGCATTGGTACTGCTGCCCTAGGTACTTGTGAGGCTGCTGCTCTAGGTGCCAGTGCGTCTGCGCTCTCAGGTACTAGTGAGACTGCGCTCTCAGGTGCTGGTGAGACTGCGCTCTCAGGTACTGCGTCGCCCTCGTCCTCCCTCACTTTCACACTTGACTCTGGGGCTTCTCGCTCCTTCTTTTGAGACCGCACTACCCTCACGCCACTTGGCCGACCGGTTGCGGTCTCCCTTGCTGACCCCTTTGGGGGTCCTGTCCTGTCTCACTTCTCCACTGTCCTCCCGTGTCCGGCTGCCCCTTCGGGCACCCTGTCTGGTCTGTACCTTCCCTCGTTCTCTACGAACTTGGTGAGTGGTGCGGACCTACAGGATGCGGGGGTTCACCAGTTCACTCCTGCGAGGCGGCGGGTGACCCACTGCACGGACGCAGACACAGGCCGACACCTGGCCACCTTTTCGCGTCGGCCGGGGTCGAGTCTCTACACCCTGACCACTTCGTCTCCTCCTGTCCCTGTGTCTGGTCAGGTAGCTGCGTCAGGTCAGGTGTTTGCTGCTGCGTCCCGGTCAGGTCCTGAGTCTGCCCCCTGTTCCTGTCGCCTCCTGTCTCACGAGACTCTCCTGTGGCACCACCGTCTAGGCCACCCCTCCTTGGCTCGTCTTCGGAGCATGGCTTCCCGTGTCCTTGTCTCTGGTCTTCCCCGGTCTCTCCCTCCTCCCCCCCCCGGGCCAGGGCCTTCCTGTGTCCCCTGTGTCGAGGGTCGCCTCCGGGCTACTAGTGAACGTAAGGGTTTGAAAGGTAACTAACGCACATGTGTAGAGAAAATGGTGCATCGGCCAGTCTGGCCGGCATTTCGCACTTATAGTGCAAGTCGGGCCAAGGAGAACTGAAACGCTCATTTCTCAAAAAGTAAACGGAATCTAGCGGTCTCACTCGATCAGAAGGTGGGAAATATATAAATCTAGTGAGCTAATAAGGTTCGGAAGGAATATATTGCATATGTATATGGAAAGTGGTGCATTGGCCAGGTCGATCAGGATGGGAACTTAGAGTGCAAATGCCTGGGAGAACGGAACCGCTCAGATCTCGCATAATACACGGAATCTAGTGGTCTCACTCAAATATAAGGTAGGAAATATATTCATCTAGTGAACGTAAGGGTTTGAAAGGTAAATAACGCACGTGTGTAGAGAAAATGGTGCATCGGCCTGTCTGGCCGGCATTTCGCACTCATAGTGCAGGTGGGGCCAGGGAGAACGGAAACGTTTGTTTCTCAAAAAGTAGAGGGATTCTAATGGTCTCACTCGATCAGAAGGTGGGAAATATATAAATCTAGTCAGCTAAAAAGGTTTGAAATGTATTCAACGCACATGTATAGAGAAAATGGTGCATTGGCCAGGTCGGTCAGTATCGGAACTTAAAATGCAAATTCCTGGGAGAACGGAAGCGCTCAGATCTCGCATAGTACACGGAATCAAGTGGTCTCACTCAAATAGAAAGTAGGAAATATATTCATTTAGTGAATGTAAGGGTTTGAAAGGTAACTAACGCACATGTGTAGAGAAAATTGTGCATCGGCCAGTCTGGCCGGCATTTCGCACTTATAGTGCAACTAGGGCCAAGGAGAACGGAAACGCTCATTTCTCAAAACGTAGAGGCAATCTAGCGGTCTCACTCGATCAGAAGGTGGGCAAAAAATCTAGTGAGCTAGTAAGGTTCGAAACGAATCTACTGACTGACCTTCTGATCGATTGAGACCGCTAGATTCCCTTTATTTTTTGAGAAATTAGCGTTTCCGTTCTCCTTGGCCCTACTTGCACTATAAGTGCGAAATGCCGGCCATACTGGCCGATGCACCATTTTCTCTACACATGTGCGTTAGTTACCTTTTCAAACCCTTATGTTCACTAGATGAATAAATTTCCTATTTTCTTTTTGAGTGAGACCACTAGATTCATCTAGTGAACGTAAGGGTTTGAAAGGTAACTAACGCACATGTGTAGAGAAAATTGTGCATCGGCGAGTCTGGCCGGCATTCCGCACTTATAGTGCAACTAGGGCCAAGGAGAACAGAAACGCTCATTTCTCAAAAAGTAGAGGGAATCTAGCAGTCTCACTCGATCATAAGGTGGGAAATATATAAATCTAGTGAGCTAATAAGGTTCGAAAGGAATCTAATGCATATGTATATGGAAAATGGTGCATTGGCCAGGACGGTCAGTACAGGAACTTAGAGTGCAAATGCCAGGGAGAACGGAAGCGCTCAGATCTTGCATATTACACGGAATCTAGTGGTCTCACTCAAATAGAAGGTAGGAAATAAATTCATCTAGTGAACGTAAGGGTTTGAAAGGTAACTAACGCACATGTGTAGAGAAAATGGTGCATCGGCCAGTGTGGCTGGCATTTCGCACTTATAGTGCAAGTAGGGCCAAGGAGAATGGAAACGCTCATTTCTCAAAAAGTAGAGGGAATCTAGCGGTCTCACTCGATCGAAACGTGGGAAATATATAAATCTAGTGAGCTAATAAGGTTCGAAAGGAATCTAATGCATATGTATATGGAAAATGGTGCATTGGCCAGGTCGGTCAGTATGGGAACTTAGAGTGCAAATGCCTGGGAGAACGGAACCGCTCAGATCTCGCATAATACACGGAATCTAGTGGTCTCACTCAAATATAAGGTAGGAAATATATTCATCTAGTGAACGTAAGGGTTTGAAAGGTAACTAAGGCACATGTGTAGAGAAAATGGTGCATCGGCCAGTCAGGCCGGCATTTCGCACTCATAGTGGAGGTGGGGCTAGGGAGAACGGTAAAGCTCGTTTCTCAAGAAGTAGAGAGAATCTAGCGGTCTCACTCGATCAGAAGGTGGGAAATATATAAATCTAGTCAGCTCAAAAGGTTTGAAATGTATTCAACGTACATGTACAGAGAAAATAGTGCATTGGCCAGGTCGGTCAGTATCGGAACTTAAAATGCAAATGCCAAGGAGAACGGAAGCGCTCAGATCTCGCATAGTACACGGAATCAAGTGGTCTCACTCAAATAGAAAGTAGGAAATATATTCATTTAGTGAATGTAAGGGTTTGAAAGGTAACTAACGCACATGTGTAGAGAAAATTGTGCATCGGCCAGTCTGGCCGGCATTTCGCACTTATAGTGCAACTAGGGCCAAGGAGAACGGAAACGCTCATTTCTCAAAAAGTAGAGGCAATCTAGCGGTCTCACTCGATCAGAAGGTGGGAAACAAATCTAGTGAGCTAATAAGGTTCGAAAGGAATCTACTGACTGACCTTCTGATCGATTGAGACCGCTAGATTCCCTTTATTTTTTGAGAAATTAGCGTTTCCGTTCTCCTTGGCCCTACTTGCACTATAAGTGCGAAATGCCGGCCAGACTGGCCGATGCACCATTTTCTCTACACATGTGCGTTAGTTACCTTTTCAAACCCTTATGTTCACTAGATGAATAAATTTCCTATTTTCTTTTTGAGTGAGACCACTAGATTCCGTGTACTATGCGAGATCTGAGCGCTTCCGTTCTCCCTGGCATTTGCATTTTAAGTTCCGATACTGACTGACCTGGCCAATGCACCATTTTCTCTATACATGTGCGTTGAATACATTTCAAACCTTTTTAGCTGACTAGATTTATATATTTCCCACCTTTTGATCGAGTGAGACCGTTAGATACCTCTACTTTTTGAGAAACGAGCGTTTCCGTTCTCCCTTGCCCCACCTGCACTATGAGTGCGAAATGACGGCCAGACTGGCCGATGCACCATTTTCTCTACACATGTGCGATAGTTACCTTTCAGACCCTTACGTTCACTAGATGAATATATTTCCTACCTTATATTTGAGTGAGACCACTAGATTCCGTGTATTATGCGAGATCTGAGCGGTTCCGTTCTCCCAGGCATTTGCACTCTAACTTCCCATACTGACCGACCTAGCCAATGCACCACTTTCCATATACATATGCATTAGATTCCTTTTGAACCTTACGTTCACTAGATGAATTTATTTCCTACCTTCTATTTGAGTGAGACCACTAGATTCCGTGTACTATGCGAGATCTGAGCGCTTCCGTTCTCCCTGGCATTTGCACTCTAAGTTCCCATACTGACCGACCTGGCCAATGCACCATTTTCCATATACATATGCATTAGATTCCTTTCAAACCTTATTAGCTCACTAGATTTATGTATTTCCCACCTTCTGATCGAGTGAGACCGCTAGATTCCGTTTACTTTTTGAGAAATGAGCGTTTCAGTTCTCCTTGGCCCTACTTGCACTATAAGTGCGAAATGCCGGCCAAACTGGCCGATGCACCATTTTCTCTACACATGTGCGTTAGTTACCTTTCAAACCCTTACGTTCACTAGATGAATTTATTTCCTACCTTATATTTGAGTGAGACCACTAGATTCCGTGTATTATGCGAGATCTGAGCGGTTCCGTTCTCCCAGGCATTTGCACTCTAAGTTCCCATACTGACCGACCTGGCCAATGCACTACTTTCCATATACATATGCATTAGATTCCTTCCGAACCTTTTTAGCTCACTAGATTTATATATTTCCCACCTTGTGATCGAGTGAGACCGCTAAATTCCCTCTACTTTTTGAGAAATGAGCGTCTCCGTTCTCCTTGGCCCTAGTTGCACTATAAGTGCGAAATGCCGGCCAGACTGGCCGATGCACAATTTTCTCTATACATGTGCGTTAGTTACCTTTCAAACCCTTACGTTCACTAGATGAATATATTTCCTACTGTCAAAGTTTGAAGAAAGAAAGAGGATTGAACTAGCAAGAATGAGGATACAAATAGCAAACCCTAGAAGGGTTGTACTCGCTATAGAGCACCCCACTACAGGCTAGAACAATAAGATAATATTCTGACACCTACTTTCTGTTTGAGTGAGACCACTTGATTCCGTGTACTATGCGAGATCTGAGCGCTTCCGTTCTCCCTGGCATTTGCATTTTTAGTTCCGATACTGACCGACTTGGCCAATGCACCATTTTCTCTATACATGTGCGTTGAATACATTTCAAACCTTTTTAGCTGACTAGATTTATATATTTCCCACCTTCTCATCGAGTGAGACCGTTAGATTCCCTCTACTTTTTGAGAAACGAGCGTTTCCGTTCTCCCTGGCCCCACCTGCACTATGAGTGCGAAATGCCGGCAAGACTGGCCGATGCACCATTTTCTCTACACATGTGCGTTCGTTACCTTTCAAACCTTTACGTTCACTAGATAAATATATTTTCTACCTTATATTTGAGTGAGACCACTAGATTTCGTGTATTATGCGAGATCTGAGCGGTTCCGTTCTCCCTGGCATTTGCACTCTAAGTTCCCATACTGACCGACCTGGCCAATGCACCACTTTCCATATACATATGCATTAGATTCCTTCCAAACCTTATTAGCTCACTAGATTTATATATTTCCCACCTTTTGATCGAGTGAGATCGCTAGATTCCCTCTACTTTTTGAGAAATGAGCGTTTCCGTTCTCCTTGGCCCTAGTTGCACTATAAGTGCGAAATGCCGGCCAGACTGGCCGATGCACAATTTTCTCTACACATGTGCGTTAGTTACCTTTCAAACCCTTACGTTCACTAGATGAATATATTTCCTACTTTCTATTTGAGTGAGACCACTTGATTCCGTGTACTATGCGAGATCTGAGCGCTTCCGTTCTCCCTGGCATTTGCATTTTAAGTTCCGATACTGACCGACCTGGCCAATGCACCATTTTCTCTA